AGGGTGGGGTTACCGCTGAACGCTTGAAGCCCTAACCTCTCCGGACGCCCCACATCTCAGAGTAGGCCCCTCTCCTTTGTTCTTTCGGGGCTATTGGCTGTCGACCAGTAGTGCCCTAGGGCCGGGCCCTGCAGGTCTTCTCGCGAGGCCCGGATTGCCAGAAAAGAGATTTCAACGGCCAGAAAAGGGGCTGAGACTCAAGTTCAAACCTGACATAAACCGGTGCTCACGACTTCTGAAGAGGTGCCTCTAACCGGAAGGGTGGACAGTGGCCACTGATTACATTTGGGAAAATGTGACGGGCAGAGGTTCTGTGCTAGGGATTTCCGGCAGGGACCTGAAAGGGAGAGCTAAGGGCCTTACTGAAAAGGGAGGTCCGAAACTGGGTTTGTGCTGGGCGGGGCTGCCTCCCTGGTCCTTCCCACAAGACTGAGGTTGAAAACAGTCACTCCACAGCTTAGAAAAAACCGGGTTACTATTCCATTTTCCAAAGGACATGAAGTATGGGACAAAGGATTTAAGAATGTTTAAATATAAAATAATTGAAACACATTTTCCTAACCCTCAGCCGTGCCCTTTGAAGCCTAATTTCTGGAAGTAATGCAGTTAACTAAACATAGAAACAGTGCTTAATTTTTCAGTTTGAAAGGAAACATTTTTCCCCTACAACCGCTTGGGAAAAGGCAGGTATCTGGATGGGGAATTTTGTCAAAGTGCAGCACAAAGGACAGATAGATGATGCCTCAATACAGAAACTTTAATAGGTAAACATATCTTGTAATGTTATAGTGTGTGGGGGGGATACAAAGGGATGGGTGCCAGCACAACTCTCCCCTTCAGTATTCTTCCCCTTCTTCAGCCTCTGCTTCCACGGAATCCACACCCACCTCTTCATAATCTTTCTCCAGAGCTGCCAGGTCCTCCCGGGCCNCACCCCTTCATAATCTTTCTCCAGAGCTGCCAGGTCCTCCCGGGCCTCAGAGAACTCCCCTTCCTCCATGCCCTCCCCCACATACCAGTGCACAAAGGCTCGCTTAGCATACATGAGATCAAACTTATGGTCCAGGCGGGCCCAGGCCTCGGCGATGGCGGTGGTGTTGCTCAGCATGCACACAGCCCGCTGCACCTTGGCCAGGTCTCCCCCAGGGACGACGGTGGGGGGCTGGTAGTTGATGCCCACCTGCCAGAGAAGGGGAAAATATAGAGTGAAGTTTATATTGTGGCCTCAGAAATGGTAGCTTGTTTTTCAAAACTGGAGCTGTGGGCCCAGTTTAAATGACGCCCTATAGAAACTGGTACATTAGTTTTTGGCAGTATCTATCAACATTTAATACTGCTTTGACCATGTACTTTCTTTTTGTAAATTTATTGATTTTAGAGAGAGGAAGGGAAAGAAACATCAATTTACTGTTCCACTTATATGCATTTCATTGGTTGATTCTTTGTGCCCTGACTGGGGATCAAACCTGCTACCTTGGTGTACAGGGATGACACTCTAACTAACTGAGCTACCTGGCCAGAGCCAACCATGAACTTTCACTTTTTGGATATACCCACACAAGAGCACAAAGCTACATGTATAGAGATTTCTATGTATTTAATTTAAAGCACTGTTTATAATGGCAAAACTGGAAACAAATGTCCATCATAGGGAGCTATTTGAATTATTTTATGCCCATACAGTGAAACACTATATACGATAATGAAGAATAAGAAATCTGTCCTGGCATGTAAATATGTCCAAGGTATATTGTATACTCGGTAAAAAGAAAAGCAAGTTAAATTCTATGTATATATGTTAGAAATACCTATAGCGTAACAAATAGACTAGAGCCTTGCACAGCTTAGGGAACATCATGCTGGAGGAAGACAAATGCCTGGAAACGTGCTATCCATCCTGGTGAGCAGATAGCAGTACCCAGGCACACCAGTCTCCAGAAGACTTGGGAGAGGCAGGAAGAAGGGCACAGTAAGTTCTGACCCTGGTCAAGGGGTCCCATGGCTCTAAGGCCAGGCCAACTGGCCCCTGCTCTTGGGAGTGCTGCAAACTTCCTGTTCTCTCTGGCCACCTGTGTGCAGCAACTTGAGTCACCTACATGGAAGGAATGTGCATCCTTTGCCCATGTTGCTAGGCTCTCTGTCAACATCACCCATATAACAAGAGGCATAATACACCTTGAATATGCATAGAACATCTCCTTAAGGACAACACTCTAGGGAAGAAGACGACTTTAACTTTTCAGCCTTCTTCGTTGTTTTAATATTTTGCCACATATGTACATTTTTATAATAAAAACCTAAACATATTTTAACATGGATGATTCTTTGAAAATATCATATCCCTGAGCAAATGGTTAAACAACATGGTGAAATCACACTCAGACTGCCAAAAAAAAAAACTTTTAAAGGAATGGGAATTCAACATGGTGCATCTGGGGTTGGACTGTCTTCTCTGGGGACAGCAGAATCTTTTGACTTCCTGCACCTCCTCACAGATTGGCACCCCTACTGGCTCATAGGAGCCAGAGACAGCTAGGAGAGGAACCTGGGCACAGCAACTCCCACGGTGCCTCCCAGCAGATGCTGTCTTGACTGTCCTTACTTTCCAAAGGTCACAGTGACCGAAACAAACTTTATTCCACTCAAGAACTTGGAATGGAAGGTTTCAACTCCTACCTAAAACCTCTTAAGGTCTGCAAACCTATGTAAGATTTCATGATTATTTCTTCTTTTGTGTGATTCACTTTAAAACATCAATTTTATTTCCTCAAAGACAATCTGCATCACAGTGTCTTAAAGTGAGACTGACAGAGGGCTAGATACCTTCAACAACTTGTGTGTAGTCAGAGGCAAGCTACAACCATTCCAAATGGGAAAAGATGACATATTTCTGCTACTTGTCATTTTCAATATGGCATGACCCTGGAACTTGCAAATCCCCAAATGAGGGTTTACAGATGCGGGGTCTACACCTTTAACTAATGCAGAACATCAACTGTGAACAAGGACTTAAAGAAGACAGCACAAAGTTAATGAACCCAAGCACAACAAAGCACTTAGCCTGGTAATCACAATAGGTCTAGAGCCTGACATTCTGTTATTTGGCTTTTAAGTACATGTTGGAATCAGTTTATAGTAATGCCCCAATTTCAAATATCCACATGAATTAGCAAAATGCCCAGGAAACATCTATATTTCTATTATAAAAATTTTTCTATTTTAAGAAAATTTCTATCATAAGAAAAAATATATCATTTCTAAGGCCAACCTACATCTTCCACACCAATTTTCATCACCCAAATAGGAACAAAGATCCTTCAGAAAATTTCCTGCTCTGTTAAAAGGTACACTAATTGATGACCAAGAGCCTAGCTGCCATGGAACAAGGTATTCTCCACAAGGCCCTCCTCCTATACAGGGTCTGCTGCATGCAGAAAGGTAAAACCACTCATTATCACCCATTCCTACCTTAAATCCAGTTGGGCACCAATCCACAAACTGAATGGTGCGCTTGGTCTTGATGGTGGCAATGGCAGCATTGACGTCTTTTGGGACCACGTCCCCCCGGTACAACATGCAGCAGGCCATGTACTTGCCGTGGCGAGGGTCACACTTGACCATCTGATTGGCAGGCTCAAAGCAGGCATTGGTGATCTCAGCCACGGACAGCTGCTCATGGTAGGCCTTCTCAGCTGAGATGACTGGGGCATAGGTGGCCAGGGGGAAGTGGATGCGGGGATATGGGACCAGGTTGGTCTGGAATTCCGTCAAGTCCACATTCAGGGCCCCATCGAAGCGCAGGGAGGCTGTGATAGAGGACACGATCTGCCCAATCAGACGATTGAGGTTGGTGTACGTGGGCCGCTCGATGTCCAGGTTGCGCCGACATATGTCATAGATGGCTTCGTTGTCCACCATGAAGGCACAGTCAGAATGTTCCAGGGTTGTGTGGGTGGTCAGGATGGAGTTGTAGGGCTCCACCACAGCCGTGGACACCTGGGGGGCTGGGTAAATGGCAAATTCCAGCTTGGACTTCTTGCCGTAGTCAACCGAGAGCCGTTCCATAAGCAGAGATGCAAACCCAGAGCCGGTGCCACCCCCGAAGCTGTGGAAGATGAGGAAGCCCTGTAGCCCTGTGCACAGATCCGCCTGAGAGAAAGCAGAGACCATGAGCAACACCCATCAAAGCCACACTGCCAACTGCCAACAAGCCTAAGTCACTTCTCTTTGACTCCACAAGATCAAATGGATTCCAGTCATCCCCAGGGAACATGCATTACACTCAGAGGTGAGGCAAAGCAGACACTAAAGGCATATGGATACACTGCAGCTACACCAGAAAGCAAGACCACAGGTTCATGATTCTGGCCTGGGTGTTGCCAAAATGGCCCTGGAAGGCTTCCCAGCGCTCTTCTTACCAGTTTGCGGATCCGGTCCAGGACCAGGTCAACAATCTCCTTGCCGATGGTGTAATGGCCTCTGGCATAATTATTGGCTGCATCTTCCTTCCCGGTGATCAACTGCTCAGGGTGGAAGAGCTGCCTGTAGGTCCCTGTGCGCACCTCATCTGCAAAGGGGACACATGTGCCATGGGCCTTTAAGGATAATTGCTATAATTACCAGCACGGGAAGATCTGGGGACCATTCAATTCTACTAAGTACATGGTGTTCCTTGTAGGTCGACAGCATCAGTGTATCACAGGGTGTCTCTATGTAATACACAGAGCACATC